TGTTCTGTATGTTTTGTTTCCTAATGTTGCGCCAGCACCTGAGACCGGCATCTTCAGAGAGCAGGAGCACAGGCAGGAGCAGTTCTCTCTGTGCCCAGGGTGATGTGGCCCTTTTGTGGGTATTTATAGAGATCTGGGGGGGGGGGAGGGGGGGGGCTTGGGTTACTGAGTGGCTGGTTTTTTTGGTGGGAAAATTTGTGTGTATCTTCCTGGGGATTAGGCAGGGTTTTTTCTTCTATTGAATTGCTAACAAGGGGTTGCTGGGGGTGATTAGCAAGTTCATTGTGTGAAGATGCCGGTCACAGGTGCTGGCAAAACGTTAGGAAACAAAACTTTCAGAACATGGCCACACAGCCCGGGAGACCCATACCAGCCATAGTAGTAGAAATGTTGGTGTTCTCTTTTTCTTCATCTTTTTTTGTGTAAGAACAATCTCCTTCCTTTCCACAGTTTTCTGTAATAGCAACTTTTTCCATATTTTACCCAAACCACCAGGTATATCTACATAAATACATGTACTAGAAAACATGGATAGGGCAAGCTAGAAATTTATTTCATTTTGTTTGAAGAGGAGATATGGGATTTTTTATCATTCCATGTACAGTAGTAGCTAAGGTAACAGGACACCAAATGACATTTTTGTATTCTCTTATACATCAACTGGATGGATTGATTCATGGGATTCTCCACGTATTTTCAAAGTTGGTATAAGAAAAGACAAGCATAGCTCATTTTCAGACTGCAATGTGAGAGACTAGAGAGGATGGAAATTCTGATGATGATATAGAACTGCCTTTAGTGTAGTCTTCTTAAATGAAAAGACTGAATATTTTTAAGCCTAATATTTTTAGGTTTAAGATAAAATAAAATTTGCCAGTAACAAAACCAACTTTTAAAAACAAAAAGGGAATTCGGCATTGTTCTTCCTCCTGCAAATGCTGTGCACTCTGCTCCTGCACCCTTGGCTTTGGATTAAAGTCCAGAGAATGATTTAAAAAGAGAAGAATGCAGAGCTGATGCAAGGCCAATCATTCTCTGCTCATAGTGTTAAGAATCTACTCCCACTCTATCAGCTTTCCTTTATTATTGATGGAAAAGTTAGTAGCGAAGATGTTTTTAGAACATATAGATCTCAGTATGGCTCCATTATTCAAACCACTGGTGTTGTAAGATGGTCAAACATCAAAAGCAAATGACAAACTATGAAAAATATCTGTTTTATATGCAAAGTAAAATGAACAGAAGGTAGTTCGCAGAATCCTGGGGTGAAATGGGTCAACCAGAAGAAGGCTCTGTAATGTGATGAGATGCATAAATTTGTATTTTTCAAGGCAACCCTTTATTCCAGATCTACTTAAAAGCCATTCAGGGACAAGGATTCCAGGATTCTTGATCAGGTCTATTCTTTTTCCCAACTGCTACTTGAATTACAATGATTTTACTTAATAGTTGAAATCCAAGGCTGCAATCCTTGGATCACACTACCTTATTAGGGAAAGACCCAAATTCTGCAGGACTATTTCAAAGAAAGTAAAGAAGCAAAAGTATTAGGATCAGGTTGTAAACCTGGCTGTTACAGTTAATACTGAATGACTTTATATTTTTGGGGCTTTTGATCTCTCTTGCATCAACCAGAAATAGGAGTGTATTGTGCTGAGCACAGCAAAGATACACTGCCTACGTGGCATTTAATGTATCTAGAGCTATGTTATTAAAAATAAGTACTCGGTTTCTGCATGGAACTAATCATTTAAAGCTACCAGAAGTGTTTGAATTACAGCCAAGATTACCTCTTTCTCTGCAAAAATTCAACACATATGCTAGCAGAACATCCTCCTCTTTATAAAGCTTTCTGTTACAGCTGCACACAACTTACATGCATGTATACACACAAACATAGAGTGCTAAAAGTTTCCCATATTTTAAAATATCATACTGTAATCCTTTAGAACTTGGTTCACTGTTTTAATTGGAAAAACTAGGAAAATCCATAAGTTGTATTGGAAAGCCCACCATAACAAGCCAAGACATCCTTCTTAAATGCAAGAACAGCTATACTTGGTTTCAATTTTTCTCTCCAATTTATAAGACGTAGGTCTTCTATTCGCTCCCTACCCTGTTGTCAAGAAATCTACAAACTGCAGATCTTATTTTAAATATGGGATCAAAGTAGTTTAAGTGGCTTTACACAACATTATTTGCATTTCTATATATTTATAACATTTTGGGGTCCTACCTTTGATAGAAACATATAGGATTTTGTTGGAACCAGAACACTTGCATACACCAAAATGACATTACCTTATGTACCACCATCCTTCCAGGTTCTTTTGAATGACCTCCACAGTGACTCCCTTGTCGAACCCAATTTCGTCCTTCCCCTGGCTGGTATATGACTGAATTGTGACATACTTTTCTTCTAGCAAAGAGAGAGAAGACAACATCAGTTAAGATCAAACAGCTGTTTTCTCTTCTCTCATTGTGATTTTAAATTATTTTGCAGGCAATTAAAATGCTTGAGCATTGCAGAGGTGGAGTCTTGCTTGTGAGATCATGTACCTATCAACTATCATACTGTAAGCATGCCTGTGTCAGCACCATTACCACCGCCCTGCTCCTTTCATGCCAACAAATGAGACAGGGTGTCTAGAGAAGGGGCTCCCCTGCATTTTACATATGGTATTGACAAAAATCAAACAAGCTGCCAAAGAAGCAAAGCAGCACTGGAGGAACCCTCTCCAGCTGGCTCCATTTAGCATACACATGATTATGGTAACCCTGCATTACTGGAATCTGTACGATGAGGCTGGAGCATGACCAACACTCCTTCAACTCAAGGAACAGACTGAACTATCCTTTTCACACCCCTACAGACAATATCACGTTTCAGTACAAAGCAGCCAGGATTTGTTTTTGTTGATTAGATCATATTCTGCGTTCCAGGTCCTCCATACTCAGAAAAGAAGTGCAAGTGTAATTTTTTAGTTTTATTAAAAAAAAACTTGCTAATTCATTGTTAACATCCTGGATTACTCATTGCACATTATAAACACTTGCACCATCAGGAAAACACATCACACTTTAGTTAACCATGTTCACAGGAACACCAGTCCTTTTAACCCGGCACTGGTTATGCAGAGCGAAGGATTTTACACTGACAAGTTGTGGGCCTGAATCTTGGACCTCTGAGGTATAGCCCTGTTAACCTAGCTATCACCATTGCTGGTATTTCTCATAGACCATGATCCAAAGTAAGGCAAGAAACTGGTCCTTATAATCCAGAAATACTCCTCCTGATGTTTAAAGTGCAACATGCTTATGTATTATTTTTATAACCTGCCTTTCCTCCCACAGAACTTGAGAACAGCTATATATTTCCTCCCACTCTATTATTCTTATAAGAATTGAAAGAATGAGAATAAGCCAAGGCTGTGAATGGTCAATCCAGCAGGCTTTACAATTAAGATTTGAAGCCATCTCTTTCACCTTAATTGGAGGTTGGCATATGCACACAGTAAAACTTGCAGAAGTGGTTGCTCTTCCCCATTCCATGAACAGCTTTCAGGAGATGCCACAAAGGTGGTGGTGGAAGGGATTCTACTGAATGTGATTATTTTTTCCCTAAGAACTCAAAGAGACACATATGGACACATATCTCCCTCCTTGACAACAAACCTATAAGGAAAGCTGGCTGACAGCCCAAAGTCACCCAGTGAGCTCCATGGTTAAGTAATGGCTTGAACGTGGGCCTCCTAGTCACAGTCCAACTTACAAATCACTATACCACACATTTAAGACTGAGTGCCAGAATGGAGGGCAAAGTGACCCAATCCCCTTATCAGAGGTAACCCAAATTTTGTTCATGGAAATTGTGTACTGATATGCTATTGTCTTCTTGTAGAGCATGTGTCCTAAAAGAAGTCAGAGAAGCAAAATACCTGCACATTAACATAAATAATACAGCTGCACATAGTTGTACACTATAGATAAGGAAGACTTTAGCTGCACTGGACAAAAGCCAGGATTCTTATGTAAAATGTTTTCAAGGAAATGAGGGATATCTTTCCAGAAGAAGATAAAGCATTTTAATAGTAGATAGTATGACATCAACTGGATTATGTGGAACTGCAGAAATCTGCACACATGACAAATTAAGGAAGAAAAGCCCCAAGAGAAAGGGTCAGTTTCAGATCAATTTAGAGCCAATAAAGATGGATAAAAGCAACAACAACCTCATTAAAAAAAAGCTCATAAATGGAAGGGGTGGGGGAGATTATGGATATCTGGAGCAGATTAGTCTCAGCTGTCTTGAGGTTGAAGGATGGGGTGTAGGACATAATTAGACATAGTGTAGTTTGCCAGGATTCATGAGATTCCAGGCCAATTCAGACAATCCAGTAACAGCTGATGTTTAATCCACCCTTACTGCCACAAAGACTTCTGATTTTTAGCCATGGTACTGAAACTGGTTGAACTTCTTTGTAACTTGCACATCAACAAATCTGGACTATGGTCTGTAGCATTGGTTTAACCTAGGTGCTAGGCATAGTTTAAGGAGTCTTGATACTCTTATTACCAGCTGTGACTGGTAAGACATATACTGATAGGACGGCAGGCAGATAACAGCAATGTGGACAGGATTATTCTTGCTTCCTGTTTATGACGCTGACAGTTTTAACATGTTGTTTTCAGCATAGCTTGTGAATCAATTACGTTCTGTTGCTGGCTAAGAGACAAGGAAAACTTGAAAGCCTATGTGAACAGAATCAATCTCAGTTCTCTCTTTTCTGGCAGTGCACTTTCACAAACCCACAACCTTGCCTCATTAGAATGGCTGCTTTTGATTTCATATTGCAATGAAGGAACTATGGTTACAAGGAGAAAAACTGATAGCACAGCTCTGCTCTTTAAAAATATGTATTGTAAACCTCTCATAAACCTTATAAACCTCTGGGTTTATAAAAATTTTAGCAAACACATAGGTCTTCCCCATATTGATCACCTCTAGATACACTTGGTATGATTATTGACCATACTGACCAGAGATGATGAGTAATGTATTCTAATATTATCTGAAAGATCCCACTATAATACAAAGCTGATATATATAATCTATTCAACATGTACACCCCTCACTCCCTTCACCTTGATGTCTACTGGCATCAAGACATTAATATTTCATATAGAGTAATAGTTCCTTACTTAAGAAATATGCAAACTGTTTTTCATTATACATCTTTTGGTGGAAAAAGGAAGGAAAATTAGTTCCTAAACCACTCTTCCTGCAAACTGATTTTGAAAAGCATGATATAAAACATAAGCTCTTTTGATGAATAATGAGATGTCAGCTTATCAGTCAAGTGTTCATTTAAATAAAAATGAATACAGTTTCCAACAAAGAATTTGGGAAGATTTTGAAGGAGCTGCTACAGCTGTTATAAAGTTCAAAGTAAACCAGCCAAACATTAGAATGCTGTATATGACCCATGTATAACAACATTTTGCTTGCTTTCTAAGCCCCAATGCTTCAGCATCACAAATTGTCTGATTGTGTAAAGAACATATATACATCATCTGATTACTCTGTGCTGACAGGAAAAATCTGTCAGTCTTCATCATCATGCTTCCAACAAGCTTGTTTTAAATTCCCAGAACCAATGTAAGAGCAATGAATGCTATTCTAAAACTAGATTTTGCATGCTATCTTCTAGGATGTAAGCATAAGAAATGTACCTTTCTTTATTAATGCTATGTGCTTTAAAGCTATTTCTTAGTCAAGAAAAGAATTTCTACGTCATCTTGGCTTGCCTATGCACTGAACACAACTCACATTGTTCCCTTTCAGAACAGAACAATAATATCTGAATAATGACAATAATGGAGGTAGTATTGTTGCTGTTAGAGTTGCTGGTACTGTTAAATGTTTACTCTCTACTGAAGAATGAACAGCAAATGCTAGTAAGTTAGGGGCAATTCAAGCTTTATCCCAAAGCCTAAAATAGTCCAAATACTGCTAAAATATACACAGTATATGTAGTTTGAGGAAAGTTTTTTTTTTGGTAAACAAAAAATTGTTTATTTAAACAATTTATATGGCTACCCATCTCATTGCTGTACTCTGACCAGCAAACAAGAAATTAAAACCAGAAAAAAATAGAACTCAATTAATTAAAAAGAAATTTCAACCACAAATTTCAACCAGCTATTGTTATAGTTCCTACTGCTCCACTATGGGGAAAACCTTTGCCAGTTTATTCCATAATCTCTGTATTTTAAATATTAAGTCCCAATATTTTACTATTGTTTCCAGTACCTTTCAAGTTACTCTGCTTTCATTTGGTGTTGCCACATCAATAAGTAAAATTTGCTTTCTTTCAACTACTGAGATATCTAGTGTGTTGTCTTCTAGATGTCAGTCCATCTGAATTTGGAAGTCCCATAAACTTTTTACATGATCATTCTAAAGCACTTTTTCAATATTGTGATCACACCAATATTTTGGGGCATGACATCCATACTTTTTACATAAATTCCAATTTACCATTTTTGCCATGCAATCATATCTTGCCTAATCGGCCTGGTCAGTTTTGCTACAGTTTATTAGTTGGTCAACAGTCTCATCTTTCTCTTGCATGATCTACATTTGATGTTGTTCCCAATTTTTGAATCTTTATTTTTATTACACTTGTTCTAGTGCTTGTAATCTTCTGCTGCAAATACTAAACCTTCTGTTTCCTTCTTGATGGATCCAGTCTGAAGCCATTGCCAAGTTTTGTTACTTTTGTTACCTTACCTCTAATTTCCTTCAGGTATTGAACATGAAGGGGTTATATTTCAAGGTTTATATTTTCATTAGTTGTTATAGCTATTCAGTTTTGTATTCTACCTTTGATTCTATCACAAACTGTTTTCCTTGCAGATATTTATTAATATCTTCTCTTTGCTTGCTTTTTTGTAATCATTTAGACCTTTCATTTTATTCTCCATTGTCTGCCTCATTTGCAACAAACCACCACCACCAATTTTCCTTAGTAAATACAAATGAACTATGTCACCTTTTGGCTGTAGTGCATGATACACTCTCCTATGTTTTCAAGTCTTGCGATCTAAAGTGTCTAGTTCAGCGTGTGCCAAACAACAGTGCCTGTTGTGTAGCATGTTATAGGGACTGCTCAAGTATATTATCACCATTTTAAAACTTTTCTAACTCATTTTACATATTCAGGGTTGATTTGGGTTTTCCCCCCCACTTGGGTATGCAAAATATTACTTGTTTCTAAAACCTCCAAATACCTATAACTGTCTTCCATTGTCAATGCTTCTATTTCAGCACTATTCAGTAATTCCATTTTGAGGTCACCACTAAACATTCAAACTGTTTTTAAAGGGGAATATATTTCCCTTTCTAGATGTTTTTGC